CTGTGGTACATGCTAGAGTACGCCCTCAGTAGCAGCTGAGTGTGAACTTTAGTTCAGGAATCTTTCCTTCCATTTATCCTTAGTCCGGTGTCTGGGTGATAGACTGTCAGGCAGGAGGCAGATCAGGCCCCACCTGGCCTTTCTTGGCATCCTAGATACCTTTTGGGGACTGGATGTTCTTTCCCAAGAAGGGACTACTATGTTCTGTAAAATGCACTACTCAGTTGTCCCCCTGTGAAAGGAAAGGTCCTCTCATAGTTTGCAATGACGCCCCTTCTCTTACCATACAACAGGTGTGTTTTGTGTTGGACTTTCCTTCTGACCCAGAGGGAAAACAACAGCCATTTTGGGGTCTGTTTAGTCTCAGAAGGAAACATCGTACTAATTAGGGTAAGAGACTTTACAAAATATGTTTTCGATTCTACTGATGGTCAGTTACAAGCGATAACGCTGTTAAATGCAGTGCCTAATAAATCTGGAAAAGCTACCCAATAAATGTAAGTAATAACAGTGATTAACAATAAATTAAATGCAGAGAAGCAAGAATGTACCACATTATTTTTAACTAGTTTGGGCCATCGGGTTCTGATTATTCAGTTTGTCCTGTACACCTGGAGTTTATTAGAGTGTAATACAAACTAAACGGTCCCTCAGAGAGGCCACTGAAAGGGCTTAGTATAAAACAATATACAAGTTTAATAGTGGTAACTGACCTTTCTTTCTTTTACAAAAACATATCTTTGTAACTTGAACCCCAAGGAAATGTAATGCTTTTTACCTAATCCCGATTGTTAATTTTCCTTTTATTTAATTTAGAAGGTTTCATTTGTTTCATGTGATAGGAAGACACAATTTATACTCAATAATTCTTCCTGTTCTGGAAAGAGACCCAAGATGACTAAATATTGCTTTCCTCCTGCCGTGTCTATTATGGAACAGAGAGTATCAGACGGTGGTGCCCTCACTGTTAATGGTAGCTGGTTAAAAACCCACATTCTAAAATAGCCAAGTGAAATGGGTACATGTGTTTATAATCAAGGTGCATTTGGCTAATTCTCCTTAAACCTTTAAATATTACTCATTCTCAAATACCAGAAAATTGGGCTTTTTCTTGGTGGAGGCAGGAAGGCAGCAACAGGCTTTTCAGTAGAGACTTTTTTTCCCAGTGTCTCCCAATGTTTATCTTTCCAAGGTTCCAAGACAGGACCACTACATTCTCATGATGGAATCTTCAACTTATAGAGCGATGCTGTGGGCAGAGGTGACATCACACTGCTGTGCTTTCTAGACGGTATTTGTAGTGCTTCTTTCTGTGCCTGGGCTTTCTCACTAGCACCATGCACGCTGCAACCCCTGATGTGAATGTGTTTTGCACACAGGGCATCCTAACCTGGGTCGACTCTTGTAAACATCTGAAACCTGAGGTGCCTCTAACGGAGCTGGGTTCTGGCAAAAAGTCCATAAACTCTGTCTTCCAACAATTAAATAAAATGGTCACCAGGGAGGGGTTGAGTGGCATTGCCCAGGGGGTCAACAGAGCAATGACTATTTTCTTTAGTCTGTTAGTCAATATGGCCAACCCCAGGTCTCATCTGCACCTTCAGTAGAACCCCAAATAGCATCTTCCTGGCTGTATGTCAGTCTCTATTTCATAATCAAAGCCATCTTTATCCAGAAGCCCTTTTAAAAACAGGATCTCTGAGATGAAGCAGGTTTTTCTTTTATTTAGAAGTAGAAAATTTTTTTTCCAATAAATAAGCTTAGGCCAAAGCCAAATGTGGAATGATTCCTGTGTCATCTACAGGAATGAGACTCAGTGGGCCAGAGGGAAGTTACAGTGTTTGCACACCTTTCCTGGGCTGTTAGGACTGGACAGAAAAAACTAAGACAGGAGAGTGGAGTCTCTAGATGCTTCCAGAATCTTCCCTGGAGGAAGGTAGCTGGTTGTCCCAGGATGAACCTGAGACAGAGGTGCAACTCCATCAGAAAATCTCTCTTTATACCAAACACCTTCATGAAACAACTTCTGTCCTCAGGGGATTTCTTGGGTGCCAAACACAACACTAGGCCTACATAGGTATCTTCACATGTAGTCTTCACTTTAAGTCTATGAGGCATTCCTAATCCCTTCATGTGAATTCCCAGGCATCCCTTACCCTATTTAGGGGCTAACAGCAAGAGAACCAAAACTTTTGGTGGCATAAAGGTGCACCACCTAGTCCCTGACTGGGGGAAGGTCAGCTGGCGTTCTGATTCTCCTTGGATTCACCACCCTAACCGGAGCCCTGTTCCTGCCATTAGCCTTTCTTCAGCTGGAGTCCAGCTGTCTCCCTCACTTGTCTAGGGCAGAGGGCTTCCCAGCAGAACTCTAGGCCTTTGTTTCTCAGGTCTACTGGTTTACTCTTGGCTGTAAAGCAATTCTATTTGTAAAACAATTGCGTTTACCTCAGTCTTGCGGAAGCCTTAACCCAAACCTTCCTTCTCAACTATGAAGAAGTACAGAGGTCAACAGTGTGGCCTTGAACCCTAGCTTAGGATTTAACTGCTGTGCCCATCTTTCAAGTTGTTTAACTTCTGAACCCAGTTTCATTATTGGTAATCTAAGTTGTAGGATTCTAAAAAAGAAAAGCAAGACAACAAAGAAACAAGCAAACAAAAGAAGGTTCTGATCGTCTTAGTGTGAACTTCCTGTGGCCTCAACAATGGCCTTGAAGGCTATGTCCTGAGTACTGGAGTTACAAACGCATCCAAACCAACAGTGCCTAGTGCCTGTTTTATGTAGTGTTGTGGGTGGAGCCCAGGGCTTAATGCTTCTTAAACAAGCGTCCCACCAACTGAGCTATGTATCCAGTGCTTTGAAGAATTCTTATGGGGTTAAATGATTTATTTGACGCAGGGCATGTCGCACAGAACCTAGTACACATAAGGACACCCAAGTGGTATCTATTTCTCGTGGCTAGAAGGCTTATATTATTCTAACGAGCACTTCTAAGAATGAAAGGAATCCCGAACATGACTGGTACTTGCTTTACAGCTCCGTTTACTTCTTCAAAACATCACAGAGGTTGCTTACCGCACAGAATGTCAACAAAAGCCTCCACAATTAAGATCCCAGTGTTGTTTTGTTGTTGTTTTCCAAAGGAATTTCATGCTAGAGGTCAGCTGCTCCATTGAAATCCTGGGAAAGTCTTGGCCATGTGGAGGCAGTCTTCGGCTTCAACTGTTGTGTAAGTCTTTCTGAGGGGAAGAACACTGAGGAGAGAGGAAGCCACTCGCTCAACAGCTTGCCTCCAAGAAGAACCTTAAGTGTCTTTGTAATCCTTTGGATAATATGAAGATGATTCCCTAGATACTGTACTTGTAGTAAGAAAGTCAAATCCACCCAAACACCCCAAAGAATACTTATTAAAGAAAACAGTTCTTAATCACTAGATTTGGGGGGGGGGACTTGCACCCATTTTTTTTTATAGATTTGCTCAGCTTCCCAGACAAAGGGAGCAAGCACCCTTGCTGATAAGCCCTAGAACATTCTTTAGACTTGGCCGTTCCCACCGGCCTTTCAGACTCAGGCAGTTTCACACTGTAACGGTTATTTCATGGGCCTTTCAGCCAATAAAGTAATCACAAAGAGATGGTTCATTCTCTGTGCTTAATTCAGCAAGGTCTCTGTCCCATCAGCGATGGTTGAAACATTAATTTTGAGTGACATTGGATGAGAACCTGGGTTTGGGCTGGACCAGAGTCATACAGCTGTTCTTTCATCCTGTGTCCAGAAAGCTAGCCACACATTCCCGCAGCTCATCTGCGCATTCTTGATCCAGCCTCTAACATTTTATGTCTAATTCCCCTGATAGCCTCAGTGAAAGTTCCCGGCAAAGATTGATTGCGGGGCATGACCCAAATTTGTAACTGGCCACAAAACGCTGTAAAACAAAGTTCACGAATACCTTCCAGCTGATTGTGAGTGATTTTTGAAAATGATCTGGTTATGTTTTCCTTCCTGATTTTTTTCCCACTTAAAATGTCTAAAAAGAAGAACTTTTCTCTAAGCTCTGGGTTCTGTAACACCATCTGCATGGCAAACAGAATGGATGGAGCAGACCTGCCTGGGGTGGGGGTGGGGCTCCAAAGCTGGTGGCCTTCTGTCCCCTAGAACAGGATTGATATCAGGGAGTGAGCGCAGAGATGGGATCCTGACAGTGGAGGCCAGAGATCTTGGTTCCAGGGGCTCTCAGAAGATGTCTTCGTCTCTGTGATGGAGATTCTGTTCCTTGCCAATGGCAGAAGCTTTGACTGTGGAGGTCTTTCTTGAGAAAGGACTGGGAATGGACAGTATACAGAGCGTGTGGAAGTGAGGGGAGTACCTCAGAGTAGTTTAGGGTCTTTTTGTTGTTGTTGTTGTTGTTGGTGGTGGTGGTGGTGGTAGTGGTGGTGGTGGTAGTAGTGGTGGTGGTGGTGGTTTTTCAAGACAGGGTTTCTCTGTGTAGTCCTGGCTGTCCTGGAACTCACTCTGTAGACCAGGCTGGCCTTGAACTCAGAAATCCACCTGCCTCTGGCTCCCAAGTGCTGGGATTAAAGGCGTGCGCCACCACTGCCGGGCAGTTTAGGGTCTTGTAAGAACGTGTTGGGAGGTGGAACATGGGGAGGTGAAACCAAGGAGTCTAGCGGCATGGGTGTTGGTAATAGTATGAATCAGAGAGTTCAACTGGAGACCTGAGCTAGGCCGAAGACTGAAAGTGTTAAACCAAAGTCTGAGCAGACAGTGCATCACATCCTGCAAAGGGAGGTCTCTTCTACATACCAAAAGACGTCTTCAGGCCAAATGACTCACAGCACGCATGCTCTCTGGATCTATGCCACACATATGGTCAGGCAAACCAGAACCAATTGGATAGTCATCAAGGAACCTGGAGTTCGACCACTGAAACCCAAGCCAGGGCCCTGACCTGAGTACTAAGTCACTCCCTTTCAGGGTTCCTTTCAAGTGGGAAAAATGAAATATGGAATGGAAAGGGCCTGTGATCCTTGGTCCTGTGATCCATGGTCCTGTGATCCATGGTCCTGTGATCCTTGGTCCTGTGATCCATTGGCCTGTGATCCATGGGCCTATAATCCTTGGTCCTGTGATCTATGGGCCTGTGATCCATGGGCCTGTGATCTATGGGCCTGTGATCCATGGGCCTGTAACCCATGGTCCTGTGATCCATGGGCCTGTGATCTATGGGCCTGTGATTCATGGGCCTGTGATCTATGGGCCTATAATCCTTGGTCCTGTGATCCATGGGCTTGTGATCCATGGGCCTGTGACCCTTGATCCTGTGATCCTTGGTCCTATGATCCATGGGCCTGTGATCCATGGGCCTGTGATCCATGGGCCTGTGATCCATGGGCCTGTGATCCATGGGCCTGTGATCCATAGGCCTGTGATCTATGGGCCTGTGGTCCTTGGACCTATGACCTATGGGCTCATAAGGTCTATGGTCTTCTGAAAAGTCACTGTGCCTTCTCTGGTATAAAAGGAGAGAGAACCAGTTAGGAAACTGAGGATCCAGTCACTGTACAGACACTGCCTTCTTTTCAGCTGGGTCCCCATCAAATGGCATCAGAGGTCAGGTCTCCCCAGGCTGCTTTTTCTGAGACTATGGGCCTCGTGTCAATCATAAGCATTAACACAATCTTAAATTCTTTTAATGTTTATTTTTAGTATGTGTATATGTGTATTGTCTGCATGTATATATGCACCTTGGATCCCCTGGAACTGAAATTAGAGACAATTATGAGCTGCCACATGAATCCTTGGAATTGAACTCTGGTCCTCTGGAAGAACAGGCAATGCTCTTAACCAACAAGCCATCCCTTCAGCCTGCATCGACATAATCTTAACTGTCTGATTTCATTTCGTTTCCTTATAGTTGAGCAAAAGATTCTAGCAGCAGTATGCAGAGCCATGGAGTTGGAGGAACAACCCAGGGAGGTCTATGCTTTAGAAGACAGAACTACATGCAGGCAGGGAGCAGAGAGCCTCACACACTCTTCCTGCCACAGACCAGCTTTTCTTGGCTTTACTTTGTTCGTCTGGTCAAAGAAGCTTGGGTCCGGCGATTGTGAGGGCCTCTGACAGCAGGGACCGTGAACGTGGGTTCCAGAAGGCTCTATGCTCACGGCAGTTGAAAGATTGAACATTCTACTTCTCTCCCTTGAGAAAACGTGAGTGGAAGTTAAGCACTCTGGCTCTGGATTTGAAATTCGACTCTGTAACAAGCCAACAGTACCCTTGGACAAGTTGCTTATTTATTGAATGGGATATTCAGAGTCCTTGCCTATAAAATAGGTTCAGGAACACGGGATAAGTTTTCTGGGAATGTGGTACACATACGGTGCTCAGTGGATGATGGTGAAGGCCTTGCTGTGATTCATGCACAGAGAAACAAGACATCCTCTCACCTGTGCCTGGAAGGGAATAGCTGTACTTCTGTATTGTTCCTTTCCTGACAGACTCAGGCCATTACCTGTGGGACAATTCTCCTTATCCTCTTCATGGTGAGGCTCAACAATGGAGAACTGCAGCTTTCCCAAAAGAGAAAACAAATACACCATGTTGCTTTGAATGTTAAAGAACCAATCTACACACACCATATAAAAATCAGAATTACCAAGGGGCAAAACTACAGAGATGAAGAGAGAGCATATTTCTACAGTGTGGGCAGTGATGCCACCACTACTCTTTAAAGATGAGCATGTCCTTACTCCTGGGCCACTGCACAAGTTATTAACTTATGTGATGAGGAGGGTTTTGTGGATGTGGTCAACTTAAAGATGGGGAGGTTTTACCGTAGGTATCATAGGGGTTCTCATAAGAGAGGCAAAATGGCTGGGGTCTGACAAAGTGATGTGTGAGGAAAGCAAGAGAGAGGGTATGTGTGCAGAGCAGAGGTCAGAATGAAGTGACGCTGTGAGCCAGGGACTGTAGGTCACCCTGGGAAGCTGGAGAGCACAGAGTCCCCTTGAGCTTCCTTTGAGTTCAACTTAGATTTCTAATCTAAGAATCACAAGATAATAAATTAGAGCTGCTTAAAGTTACTAAGTTTTATCATTTGTTAGAGCAGCAACAGGGAAAAGTATGAATTTCCCAAAGAGATTACCGCCATAATGTATGTGTGATACACTGCTGCATCTTTATGTACACACACACAAGCACACACACACACACACAAGCACACCATACATGGATTTCTTTTCTAATCAGTGTGATATCACCTTAAGCGTCCTCCTTTCTGTGTGGTCAAACTCTGAAACCCCTCACGTCTAAACATTAGAGTATATTTCATTCCCCCAGCTGACTCTAATATGCCCATTAGAGATGCTTGCTACAGCCTTCCTTTGTCTCCGTGCGGCACATGCTTAGGGTGTCACAGACTTGTTGTGACAGGCAGGGGTGCCGCAGAACGTTCCTCCATCTAGACTTGTCTGGCTGCTCCCTCCTGGTATCTGTCACTTGGTTTGTTCTCCTATCCCTCACCTTTCTTGTGAGCCTTTTCTCAAGCCTCGATGGATCCCACTGGACACTTGAGGCTAAAAGGATGAGCCATCCGTGATGCTTGGTGTTACATCTGGTCCTTTCTAGTTGACCTCCCGCTGCCTTGCTTTGTTTAGAACCTTTTCAAAGCCCTGAACTCCAGCTCCTATGTGGGGTTCAGAAATGCCAGAAGGATGACAAATTCACTCTCTTTCTGGGATGGGGTGCTAATTGCTGCTAAGGGATGCAACTTACAGAAACCACTGAAATTCAAGGCTTTGTGACCTAATGAAGCAGAGTCCCGCCTCAACCCCACGGAAAGAGAATAACAGGATGCACAAACTTGCAGGCTGCATTTAGGTCCATAAATTACCAAGAATGAGCCTGAAGAGAACAAGGCACTTCCATTTCAACAGAGCTTTCTCGGCTAAGTGTACCAACATCTGACTGTTTAGACATCATTAAAATACATTGCACCCAATATGTTTACCCACAGTCGTCTCTATTACCAGGCAGCTCATTCATCAGCTTGTCAATTTAAATGGATTTCTGCATACAAGTGACTGTCTACTGTTCTAAGAACACTCCAGAAGAAACTGGGGCTATAGTACAAAAATAAAATTATTCAAAGCCGAGCTTGAGGAGTTTGAAGGGACCCTCCCTACTTGAATCAAATGAACAATGGCATTTTCTGTCAGCTATTTCTACTGTAAGAGATCACACTAATTATTGCAGTAGTAATGATTAAAAGCATCATTCTTTGTTTATAGAGGAACTTCCTGAGGAGGAGACCCCAAGACTATCTTTACTAATATCTTGGCCCAGGGTTGAAATCTTTATTGCACTGTGGACTTGTGTATGAATGTACATACATATATGTGTATCTCTTATCCTATCCAAAATTTTCTCCATATAATTAAATGTATCAGTGACATCACAGGAATGGAGTCAATCTTTGGTTTCTGTCACTCCTAGAAGACTGCAAATTCAAGTTTTCCAAAGTTGGACCGAATCCGGGATGCTCTCAATAGGCATATAGTATTTCAAGGACTCACTGTAATGAGGAACTCTTTGTATGCAGTACTTCTTGCTTGCCTTGTTCTCTCTCTCTCTCTCTCTCTCTCTCTCTCTCTCTCTCTCTCTCTCT